TCTATAATGTGCTCCTTACTTTTCTTTTACTTCTGGAAACATTTCATAATTTTCCCTTTGCCAGATTTCTAGAAAAAAATTAAAATGTAATTTGGCTGAAAAGTAAGTTTTTCAAAATTTTTCCTGGAATAATTTTTTACTGAAAAATTTTGAAATTTTCGTAAAATGAGCTTCTCCGGAGCTGGGTTGATACGCTACTGTTTGGACCATATGGCTACTGAGGAATCACGACACTCAGTTTGAGTCGATTAAAGGCGATTAACCACTCGGTTATATTGACAGATGAACAATGCATTTAACGTCATTTATAACCGATTGGTTGACAAATGACGTTTGCTTCATTGGTTATCTGTCAACTATGACCGACTGGTTAATCGCCTTTAATCGATGTTGGCAACGTTGCACTGTCTAACTGTCAAGAGGTTATGTTAACCAGTGTTTGTTGTCACTTTTCAGAGCTTAGACAAGGAAAGCATATAAGAGCCGCTTTCCAGTGCCTAAATTGTTAGAGTATCATGCTCTTGAAGTGTGACGCTCTTGAACTGTTCGACATAAGCAGCACTGGAACGCTCTCGTCTCAACCCCCACCATTTCGGATTTCAGGAGCATGAAACACAGACAAAAGGGTTGGTGCACGAGGGGGCAGGGGATAACAGAAATGAGTAGCTCAAGTGTACGACACTCTAAGCACTGGAACGCGCAAAGCAATTGTGGAGCACTCCTGAGCTGCTCAGGAGTAACTCAAATGGGTCACTGGAAAGCACCCAAGATGTGCGTCAGAGCTATTCTGAACGATTTTTATTGGTTGGAAAGTGTATATACGTCATACAATGGCGCCATTCCAGCACGTTTGAATATGTGGGATGAAAACAGCATTTTTGAAAATTATTTTGAAGGGTATTTTTATTTTGGTTAATACAACTGATTAAAAACAATAAAGCAATGAAATTCAAATATGGTGAATGTCCCCATTGCGTTCTCTGTGTCGTCGACTAGAGGTGAGAAGGGAATCCGTTGAACGCTATTCACAACCTTCTAGATGTGTCAATCTTCTCGAGCCTGATTTGGCCAATATTCATGAGGTGCCTGGGATTTCGGCTGGTATAGCCAGTGTAAATATTTCCGATAAAAGTCCTGAGGATGGGCAGTCTGTGAGCAAGGAACTTGTGTGTTATAGGTGCAAGAAACCTGGTCATCGTGCTGTAGGATATTCTCTACCCAGGCCGAAATTCTGTTTCCGTTGTAAGAAGGATGGTTCCACCATCAGAACTTGCCCTAATTGCAATTCGGGAAACGCGGGCGGGCGCTCTTAAGTCGGAATAATGACTTAGCGAGCACGAGTGATTGTATAGCACCTATTCTCAATTATGTCCTTGAGCATGCCCATAGAATGACGAGAGACCTTATTTGCGCGTGGATATTTTAGGAAGGGAAGTTTTGGGTCTTCTCGATTCAGGGGCGTCTCGTACTGTTATTGGTGGTCCCGGTTAGAGGTTGTTAAGGTTTTTGTCACCTCGTCTCGACCAGAGTCAGACGCCAAGTTGCAGCGTGGCCAATGGTCAAATGTGTCGCAGTATTGGTACTTGTGAGATACTGATGAAGATAAGGGATCGTACTCGTCTTATTAGGGCTATTGTTCTGCCGGAACTTCCGCATGTCTTGATTTTGGGTACCGATTTCTGGAAAGCTATAGGTGTTGTGCCAGACCTACGGTGTGGTGAGTGGTGTTATTCGAGTCTGCCTGAGATTGCTTCTGTAGAGGTAGCTGATGAAACCATTCTAACGGAAGACCAGGAGAGTAGATTGAATGCGTTGTTGGACGACAGTTTTAGGCTTATGGGTGATAAGTTGGGTTGCACGGATCAGGTGGAACATGTTATTGTTACTAAGGCCAGGCCTATCAAGCAACGTCGGTACCGAGTTTCTCCTATAATGCAGCAACCAGAGCTGGGATCGTTACTTGAAAAAAGTAACGCGTTACTTTACAGTTACTTTTGCTTAAAAATAACTCGTTACTTAAAATTTACAGTTACTTTCGAATAATGATAACTTTATTTTCGTTACTTATTGGAAAGTAACGCGTTACTGTAACTTCTTTACTTTGAAAGTAACTTCTTTACTTTAAAAGTAGTTCGTTACTTTTAAAGTAACGTGTTACTTCAAAAATAACTATTTAAGTCGAAAATTGCGTTATTCCTTAATTAGACTCACCAACACAGCAGTCCAAACAATCAAATAAGACCTATACGAAATGCCAATATGTTTTTAATTTGTGGGTCCGACTATGTGGAAGAGTATTCTTGTAAAATTCAAATGGATTAAGGATTAAGCGACTGAATAGAGCACTTGGTTTTGGACAAACCTCTCTTTGAAGCGTCCCAGTGTCTGCATATAGTGTCTTTAGAGCAGAGGCGGCGCGTGGCACGCCCAAAAACGATTATTTTGAGCTATCAAAACAAACTTTCTGTACTACCAACATTTTATTTGACATACAAAGTTTTTGGATTACTTATTTTCCTTTTCCTCACTCGTCAATTATTTGTAAAGAAGATAAACAAATTGAGAGAACGAGTTACTTTCATAGTAACTAGTAACGCGTTACTTCCAGCGTTACTTCAGGAAAGTAACGTCGTTACATTTACTTATCAATCAATCTGAAAAGTAACGAAGTTACCAAGTAACGCGTTACTTTCAGTAACTCGTTAAAGTAAAGTAACTTTTTTTTGTCGTTACTCCCAGCTCTGGCAGCAACACATCGATAGGGAATTGGATGAGATGATAAAGCTTGGGGTTGTGGAACCGTCGAAAAGCCCGTGGGCATCACCAATCGTGATGGTTAAAAAGAAGGATGGTTCGTTCAGCCTTTGTGTGGACTACAGGAAGATTAATGCTGTGTGTGAACGCGACAGTTATCCGCTTCCTCAGGTTACTGACACCCTCGATAAACTTTCTCAGAGCAAGTTTTGTTCTACTATGGACATTAAGTCGCCATATTGGCAGGTACCAGTCGCTGAGTCTTCTCGTCCCTACACCGCTTTCACAATCCCAAATCGTGGTCTGTTTCAATTTAAGAGACTTCCATTCGGGTTACATAATGCCCCGGCCACTTGGCAAAGACTCATTGATAATGTCCTTGGAGTTGATCTTGAGCCATATGTTTTCGTATATCTAGATGATATAATGGTGGTTACGCCCGATTTTGAGACGCACTTGAAGGTCCTGGAGGAGGTATTTCATCAGGCCAATCTCATTGTGGGCCGAGCGAAGTGTCAATTTTGTAAGCCCAGTTTAAAGTATCTTGGTTATGTAGTCGATAGTCAAGGATTACACGTCGACCCTGATAAGGTTAGGGCCATGTTGGACGTTCCTGTTCCTACTAGTGTCACTGAGGTTAGGAGGATAGTAGGCACTTCTTCGTGGTATCGTAGATTCATAAAAGACTTCTCGACTGTTATAGCTCCCATTACTGGTTTGTTGAGGAAGAATTGTAAGTTTGACTGGACTCCAGACTGTGACTCTGCATTTAGGAGTATTAAAGAGTGTTTGATTGGTGCGCCTGTGTTGGCGGCGCCAGATTATCCCTGGGATTTTGTTGTTCAGTATGACAGTTCTGGGTATGGTATTGGGGCTGTTTTGGTTCAACCTTATGCTGATGGTACGGAGCGTGTAATAAGTTACATTAGTCGAAGTTTGACAAAACAGGAACAAAATTTTTCAACGACAGAGAGGAGATGTCTCGCCGTTGTGTGGTCCCTTCAAAAGTTACGTGCTTATTTGGACCTTGTCCTGTGTCAGTGATCACGGATCACTATTCATTAGTTTGGTTACAGAACATGCAACAGTCTACAGGTCGTATGGCAAGATGGCAAGTCCAACTCCAACAATACGATTTCACGTTAATTCATCGAAAAGGCAAGGAGCCCATTGTCCCTTACATGCTCTCTAGAGCTGTACCTAAATTAGATCTCGTTGTAATTGATAAACCTTTTTCTGTTGTCAATAAGTGGTACCTTGGTATGGTGAGGAAGATCAAATCCAATCGTCTTAAGTTTTCTGGATGGAGGGAAAATGAGGGTAGGTTGTGGAAAAATGTTAAATGCCCGTATCCTGAGTTGAATCCAGAGGACGAAAATTGGAAGGAAGTGGTCCCAAAGGAAGAGAGGGGTAGGATGATCGCCAGTGTTCATGCCTACTTGCAGTCATATAGGAGTTTATAAGACTTTCAAACGTGCTGCTGAGAGGTATTATTGGCCAAAAATGCGGAGTGACATAGCTAGGTTTGTTAGGCGTTGTGTCCTTTGTCTTTTGTCTCCAGCATAAGTCTGAAACTGGGTTGCCAAAGGCGAAAATGGTTAGTCATTCATTCGATATTGATACTTTCATGACATTATCGTACTTATTACCTAACCAATTATCAAACAAAAGAAGAATCTCGGAAAAACCTGTATACCTACTTGCTGTCAGAAACTTAACTTCAAAAATGTTGATCTTCATCTAAACCATAAGAAATGTGCATTTTTTATACTGAAATTGAATATTTAGGACATCAGATAGATATTCATAATCCCTGAAAAAAGTAAAAGCAATTTCAGACATGCCAAGACCAACTGATATAGACAGTGTTCAACGATTTCTTGGTATTGTAACTTATTACATTAGAGCATTTATCAAATTAAAACAAATTATTGCCAGTGACGGGCAGTGACCAGGTTTTGACTACTCTCATTTCAAATTTACCATTGATTTTAGAATGTGACTCTAGTCGAACAGGTATCTATTGCTGGAGTTCGTTCACATGTAATTAGAATAAAAGTCTACCTATTGTTTTTACATTAAGATCTTCAATTTCAAGTCAACAAAACTAGATGTAATATTATCGGGAAGCTTTTGCTATTACGTTTTTTGCTAAGCAGTTACCAAACGATTGATCTAGCGGCCCTTATCCTGGCAACTAGAAAAGTTATTAGAAATTGAGAACATTTTGAATAAAACACTTTTTCGTTAAAGAATTATTTTATTTCAAAAGTTCCTTCCATACCTATTATGAATTTGTACAGTTGTGTTCAATAAAGTATTAAGTATTGCACTGCTATACATTGTATTGCAAATAATGTGAGATTCATTGATTGAATCAATCCAAATACTACCAAAAGTCCGCATTCTGATTCTAAACAAATTATAGGAAGGGGTTTACAATAAATTATTGAACACGACTGTACAATGTTATTTATAAAAAATTAATTAAAAATACCTACCTATCTAATTTACTAACATCTTAATCTAGGCACTGCAATAGATAAATTACTAAATGACGCTGAAAGTTTGAGTTTTACTCACAACCATTGATAAATGGGGGGAAATTTTGTGCCTAAAAGTTAATTTCCTTAATTCCATTGTTTAAATCAATCATATAATTTGATATTTTACAAAAAAAAAAAAGTACCAATTTGTTAACGCCAACGAAGTGTGACCATGACACAAAATGAGGCAAATTTCCTGAAAATACATATATAGGTAAATAACAATCAAGAAAATTATAAAAAAAAAGGCATTCAATTAAAAAATAAACCTAATATAAAACGCGTGAAGTAAATTCTTCGAAGGAAACATAAATTACCTCAATACATTATATCTAAAACTGTGTAAATCTCTTTATCCCATTTTGATGTTTAAAAATGACATTATTGAACGCATAACAATAAAGGTAAGTAGAAGTTTATCACCTCAGTGATTTAAAAACATTTTAACTCACTCTCGGCATTTTAAATCACTCTGCCCAACTAAAAATCTGAAACCTCAGTGATTTAAAATATTTTTAACTCACTCTCAGCATTTTTCTTTGTACTTTATTTTTTAAATTTCCACAAAATGGGATAAAATTTTGTATACATCACGTGTGTTAGAATGTTTTATTCATTCGAATTCTTCTCATGAATAAACATTCATTTAACTCACTTGGTGTATAAATAACTATTAATACATACTTCAAAAAAAGTGATTTAAAAACTTCACCAGTTGTGTAAAATTTACAGTAAAGTTCCATTTTATATATGGCAAACAGTTGCGTAAAGTAAAGCTTCGAAAAATAATACAATTTGGGTTAAACTTTAAAAAAAGTCGTTTGATTTGACTAACACTCAAAACTCAGGAAACCGTTTTCTTCCATTGGACTGATCTCATCGCGATTTCGATTTTATTGCAATTTTGTCCTCAATGCGCCCTTTTGACAGTTGACAGATGAATAATAGGTTTATCCGGAATTAGTTCAGAATCAGTTCTGAATTGGACTGCGCTTGCGTATTTGTTCAGATCGAACATACAGTGTGTTTCAAAAGTCTGGGAACGATCAAATGTTTCCATAGCGGCTTGAAATAGAATTACGAAATTTTCTGCATATGCATAACTAATGGATTCAATGATAACATCAATAATGTTGCCAAGTCTACCGGTTTCCAGATAATGTAGGTAACTTCGTTTTTTTAAATAGGAATACTACCCTATTTTCATTGCAATAGATTTGGTGCTCTATTGTTATTAAAACCTCTTGATATCCTGTCCCTATCTCACACGGTTTCTGAAATATGGCAGCACAGACTTTGTTAAGGATTCCTTCTCACATATAACCTGTACTGAAACCTGTAATTACTTAGCTTTGGCCTCTCGTCAATAGATGGCACCACTTGTAAATTACACATGACAGCTTATGCTGTGTTGCCAAGCGAGTTAGGGTTTTGCATTGTATGGGGCTAAAGCGAAAGTGTCGTTGATTTCTGTTCACGTTTTTCCTAAGATTAAAGTTATTAAAATAACAGCAAACTGTGTTTTAATCGAGTTATAAAAACCCACAAATATCAGGTTATGGGCCCAGTCTCTTTGCTGAACAATCAAAAGTGAAAATCCAAAAAGTTTCAATAAACATTGTGATACATAACCTAAAAAAAGTGTGCTTCTGGAAAACAGGCAAAAATGTCAGGATTAAATAGTGTATCGGTTCCAATATTAAAAGGAAACAACTTCAATAATTGGCATTTTAGAATCACGACTTTGTTCAAGCGTGAACAGTGTGAAAATGCTCTGGATGATCCCCCACCAATAACAGCAACCGAAGAGGTGAGAAATAAGTTTAAGAGGGCTGATGCCAGGGCACAATCAATAATAGTTCAAGAGTTCAAGGTGTGTCTGATAAACATCTAGACATAATAAAGGATTGTGTCACAGCCAAACAACAAATACATGCTTTGAAAGAAGTCTTCGTAAGAACCAGTACCTTCACCAAACTTTCATTGTGGAGAAAACTCATACAATTGCAGTCAGGCTCAGAAGAAAAACTAGAAGACTTGTTCTTGAAATTTGACACTATAATTAGGAAATTGAAAGAACTTGGATCAAATATCGATGAAGGGGACAAGGTGTGTCATCTCTTGCTAGCATTACCATCAAAATACGACACTGTTGTAACAGCTTTGGAAACTGTGTCAAACGTCAAAATTGATTTCGTCAAAGCTCGGCTCCTCGATGAGGAAAATAAGTTAAATTCAAAGTTTGATAACTCAAATAAGCAGATAAATGAAGTAAGCTTCAATGCTGCGTCTTCAAAGTGCTGTTACATTTGTGGAAGTCCACAACATTTCCAAGCTTCATGTCCTAGAAAAAATACCTTTCAATCTGGCTCTCAGTCCCACTCCCAACAACATTCAAATAGGAGCTCGTTTCCAAGAAGAAGAGGAAGAGGACGTGGATATAGATCTGGCGGTCGGGGCAATTATAAATATCAGGCCAATACTGCAACTGCAGAAGAAGAAGCTATTCTCCTCTACGCTGCTTGCGAAGGGGCAAATATTTCAACCGAAGATAAGTCTGTGGCAGTAAGTGACAAAATATGTTTTGTTCTAGACTCTTGCGCCAGGAATCATTTTGTACAAGAAAGCTTAGCCAATTATATGACTGACATTAAAATATTAAGTGTTCCTGTGTGTATTCAAATCGCAAACGGTGAAGTGTTGAAAACAAATAGACTTGGTACTTTGAAATTGAAAATTCAAGGTCATCCTCTAAATATTGAGGCACTTATTGTACCAAATATTAAACATAATCTTTTATCTGCTTCTAAATTAACTTCAAGAGGTCACCAAATATTAGTTGAAAGCAATAAAACTACAATTAGTGGAAGAAATTTTTCATTGGTGTGTCAGAATCAAAGGGGACTCTATGTACTTTCTGCAGACAGTATAATGAAAGAAGAGCACAGTAATGTTACCTGCAACAATGATCTGTGGCATAGGAGGTTTGGGCATGCTGGTAGAGATGCATTGGCTCAACTTGGGCTGAAGACATCTGACAAAGTTTGCACAACTTGCATTGAAGCAAAGGCGACAAGATCTCCCTTTAAACCAAATGAAAGAAAAGCACAGGCCTTAGGAGAACTAATCCACAGCGACATATGTGGACCTATTTCACCAATAACAATGGATGGTGGAAAGTATTTCCAAGTAATCCTGGATGACTATTCACATTTTGTTGTTGTCAAGATTTTACATAATAAAAACGAAGCAGAAGACAATCTAAAAGAATATATAGCTGAGCTAGAAACCCAACATGCCTCTAAAGTTAGACGTATACGGCTAGACAATGGTGGAGAGTTCACATCCAAAATTTTCCAAATTTTTTGTAAACAAAAGGGTATAAAACTTGAATACACCATGGCATACTCTCCTCAGATGAATGGGAGTTCAAATCCAAAATTTTCCAAATTTTTTGTAAACAAAAGGGTATAAAACTTGAATACACCATGGCATACTCTCCTCAGATGAATGGGAAGTCAGAAAGACTAAACAGAACCTTACTTAATATGATCAGGACAAAAATCATAGACTCAGGAATGCCAAAGAAACTCTGGGGTGAAGCGTTAAGATGTTCAGCATATGAACTAAATCGTACCCCCACTACTGCACTTCCAAAAGGAGAAACTCCATCAAAATTGGGGCATAAAAGAAATGATATTAGCAAGCTAAAAATTTTTGGGTGCAGAACATGGTTTACAGTGTTGCCAAAACAGGATAAACTTAGCCCAAAGGCAAGAAGAGCAGTAATGGTTGGTTACTGTGGTGGAGGCTACCGGTTGTACTTACCTGAGCAAGATAAAATTATTAAGTCACGTGATGTCCGATTCGATGAAACAGTTATGGAATATAAGCTTGAAAAAAAGACCAGTACCTCAGATATAAAAGTACAGTCCATAGAAGAAATGGGAGAAGATGAACACAATAGAACACAAGATGACAATCAACCTGAAGCACCAGAAAGAGAAGAAGAAAGGGAAGACGAACAAGAAAGTCATAGTGGTAGTTCAAGTGAAGATAATGAAGAAATTTTTACCAGGTCTGGAAGACAAGTAACACAACCAAAACATCTTGAAGACTATGAAATATATCAAGCATACTGTCTACTCACTGGAAGCAATGATGAACCTAAAACATACAAATAGGCAAAAGAACTTCAAAGTTGGCAACAGGCTATAAATAGCGAAATACAATCACACATAAAACTACAAACATGGAGTGCATGTGAAAAATTGCCTGAAGGGGAACTACCAATAGACACAAAATGGGTCTTCAAACAAAAAGATGATGGAACTAAAAAGGCTCGTTTGGTTGCTAGAGGATTTCAGTTGCCAAATACAGGTGAAGAGTTTTCCTATGCTCCAGTTTGTAGATTGCAAACAATCCGATTGTTATTCTCTATATCGGTACAAAGAACCTAGAAAAAATTCAACAAATTGATGTACCAACAGCATTTCTGAATGGAGCCTTGGACACAAATGTTTATATTAAAACACCAGAAGGTGTTGAAAGTAGCTCAAAATACCAGAAACTAAATCGTGCTTTGTATGGGTTGAGAACTGCACCAAAATGCTGGAATATAAGATTCAATGAAGTCATGCTTGACCTAAAGTTCCAAAGGTCACAGTATGACTTCTGTTTTTATTTCAAAAACGAAGTAGAATAGAATGGAATTGTACAACACAGACCATGGATTTAAAATTACCCAAACAAAGATGATATCAAGACTGTTGAAAGAGTTTAACATGGGAGAAACTCGACCAATATCTACCCCAATGGAAATAAATTTTCAAATCGATATAGATGAGCCTATAGTATCTGAAGAGCTTCCATATAGGAGACTAATATGCAGCCTTATGTATATTTCTCTTGTAAGTAGACCAGACATTTCCTACAGCGTCTCATATCTAAGTAGATTCCTAGACAAGCCTACTATGTCAGCTTGGAATGCAGGGAAGCGCATTTTACGCTATTTGAATTCCACAAAAACATTTGGTTTATTTTACAAGAAAGGCGAAGGTGGTATGGAGTCCATGTGCGACGCAGTTTGGGGTGGTGACCGAATGACTAGGAAAATTGTCAGTGGCTTTGTTTGTTTCCATGCAGGCAATTTGATTGCATGGCACTCAAGAAAACAGGGCTGTGTGGCACAGTCATCAATGGAGGCTGAATATGTTGCAGCTGGTTTTGCAGCTCAAAAACTGATGAACCTGAAGGGACTTTTATCAGAGTATGGTGAGTCTAATCAAGTGATTTTGAAAATTGATAACCTCAGTGCAATTTCAATGATAAAAAGTTTTGTTAACTCTAAAAGAAGCAAACACATTGAAATTAAATATCATTTTATTAAGGATCTTTGCATGAAAAAACAGTTATCCATTTCTTACATCAGTTCTAAGGAAATCTGTGCTGATATATTAACAAAGGCATTGGGGAAAGCAAAATTTCATTGTTTTCGGTCTATGCTTTTAAAACAATAATTTTCTTTCAATCTGGATTTATCAGCATATTTGAGTATAATTTTTTTTTTGTATGCATAAGTTAATAAATATGATAATTTCTTTATTTCAACTTTGTATACCTAATAACTACCTACTTATTAACAATTTAAATGTATTTATTTGAGTTTAAATTTATTTATTTGAGTTTCTTTTATTTTTCATTTTTAAATTGAATAATGTAACAATGTTAATGTATGTAATGTTGGTGTATTGATTTATTCCATGATTTATTCATATTCATATAAATTTTGTTTTGTTTTGTAATGTAAGTATATAATTAATTATTGTATTGACATTTAAATTGAGGGGGAGTGTTAAGGATTCCTTCTCACATATAACCTGTACTGAAACCTGTAATTACTTAGCTTTGGCCTCTCGTCAATAGATGGCACCACTTGTAAATTACACGTGACAGCTTTTGCTGTGTTGCCAAGCGAGTTAGGGTTTTGCATTGTATAGAAAGCGAAAGTGTCGTTGATTTCTGTTCACGTTTTTCCTAAGATTAAAGTTATTAAAATAACAGCAAACTGTGTTTTAATCGAGCTATAAAAACCCACAAATATCAGACTTTTGGTTCAAAAGTCTGGGAACGGTCAAATATTTCCAGAGCGGCTTGAAATCTTAGATCATATATACCTACAGGGTGTCCGGTAAGTATATGGCATACTCTCGGGAGTGTATAGGAGGGGTAAAAATAACCCTACTTTGTTATTAAAAAAAATTCCTAAAGTGCCCCTGAACGGAGATATAGAGCCCCAAAAGAGTACTTGGCGATTCACATTTTTGGCTGTAACTTTTGAACCGACTTGTATAATTTAATGAAGTTTTAATATTTTATGTTGGCCATAAAGGCTCATAAAACCATACTACAGCAGATGTTTCACATAATCTGGGAAGTCAGGAACGGACTTGCCTCTATATTCATTGTGCCAAATTTTTGACAGGAGTCATTTTACAAAGCTGAAAACTGATTTTTTAAATACTTTGGTCATTTTTCTTCAAAAAAGGTTGCCTACATTTGTTTCGATTAAATCAGTCGTTTCCGAAAAAATTAGGATTTTGTATAACACGTCTAATCATTTACCTTCAAAATTTATTTAAATAATCAAGTTGATCCTAGATAAGAAAAACAGACAGAAGAAATTGACTTATAAAAAGTACCTTTTTTGGCAAAAAGGTTCGGTTTTAGGTACTTTTTATAAGTCAACTTCTACCTGTTTTTCTAACTCTAGAATAAACTTGATTATTAAATGAATTTCGAAAGTAAATGATTAAACGTGTTATACAAAATCCTAATTTTCTCGGAAACAGCTGATTAAATCGAAACAAATGTAGAGCACCTTTTTTGAAGAAAAATTAGCAAAGTATTTAAAAAATCAGTTTTCAGCTCTGTAAAATGACTACTGTCAAAAATTTGGCAAAATGTATATGGTGGCAAGTCCGTTCCTGACTTCCCAGACTATGTGAAACATCTACTGTAGTATGGTTTTATGAGTCTTTATGGCCAACATAAAATATTAAAACTTCATTAAATTATACAAGTCGGTTCAAAAGTTAGAGCCAAAAATGTTAATAGCCAAGTACTCTTTTGGGGCTCTGTATCTCGGTTAAGGGGCACTTTAGGATTTTTTTTTTATAACAAAATAGGGTTATTTTGACCCCTCCTATACGCTCCCGAGAGTATGCCATATACTTACCGGACACCCTGTATATGTTGTTCACATATGGATACAGCGAAAGCCAACAATTATGTTGACAACATATCCAAGACATACTTAAATCGTCTTTCTTTCTTTAACACGCAGATCTCCTATGAGCTTTATCTTTCTTTTGTCTTGCATGGCCTCTTATTGGCCGCAAATTTGGAAAAGTGGCAGAGAAAATATAAGGTAAAGTTCATTTGTTTACATTTACTCTGCGTAAGGAGAAGGAGACTCCAGCTTAAGGGGAGTTTGATGGAATTTTTATAATATATTGATTTACTGACAACTTAAACTGGTGGAAAAATAGTATTGTTTACAGTTCAAAAAATGCTGTCGAGTCGAGTGATTTCTATTCTCATATTTCAATTATGCTATGCAAGTGATTGATAAGTGAATAAAATATATACATATACCTATCTACCAAGTCTTTCTAGATACGTTTGGCTTTTTTTGCTTCTGTTTTTACTGGCAGAGTTGCTTCTATTGCAATGGCTTTTAAAATTAACTAAGAATATATATTGCTCTATTCGAAATATCGAAAGCAAATGGCAAAACCGGCAGAAAGCAGAAATCAAAACAATCGACAATTAAGCGAGGGTTGCCAATGTTGCCAAATCATTTTTTCAATAAGAATACTACAATAAAATAATTGATATTTATTTACTTTTGAATCTTGAATTGCTTGAAATCTAAAATAAATGCTATTTTTATTATGTGATTTTGCTTCTAGCAAACAATTTTATAATTAGGGGAAATGTGAAGAAATATCAAAGCTTATACAATATTAATCAATTTGGCAATGTTGAAAATTGAGTAAATTAGCAAAGACGTATGTTATTACTCCTAACTGCGCATGCTCAGAAGGTGAAACAAAAGACAGATAAATTTATATCATTCATGAGGCTATGAAAGAGATAAATGGAAAAAAGCACGTCTTCATGTTGGAAACAGGAACGTATGTTATTTCAGAGGGAATTGCTGTATCCATATGTGAATAACATATATATATTATGATCTAAGCTTGAAATAGAATTACGAAATGTTCTGCATATGGGTAACTAATGATGCCCGATGCAATGATGACATCGACAATGTTGCCAGGTCTACTGATTTGCAGATAATGTAGGTAACTTCGTTTTTTAAAAAGGAATACCACTTTATTTTCATTGCAATAAATTCGGCGCTCTATTCTTATTAAAACCTCTTGATATTATGTTCCTATTTAACACGATTTCTGAGATATTGCAACACAGCCTTTTTGTTCAGTCTAGGAACAGTCAAATTTTCAGAACGACTAAAAATAGGATTACATTTTCTGTGAGTGAGTTCGACATTTGAGAAAATATTAACCCAGGAAAATCTATCTATCTCAATAAAACCGGCTGAAATGTCACTAAAAAAACTGGTTGTCGAGTATAAATTGATATTTTATACAGGGTGTATCAGGTTTGTCTACAAAAGTTTTAACACTTGAAAATATGGCCCATTTTGAACAAAAAAAGTTTTTACAACATGAGGTCCAAACTCAACCATTTTTAAGAAAAAGGCTATCGAAGTTTAAGACATTTTTTGACGAATATTTGAAAGATAAAAAAAATTAATTCATTATGAGATCAAAAAAAAATTAACTCATTCAATTATTAAGTAATAAAGCATTTTTAGTCAACAACAATAATAAAAAATTGAAAAAACATGACACCTTCACTCGTAATTCGGTATATAAACATTTTGCAACATAGCACAAAAAAGAATAGGTGGTTGAAAATAAAATTTTCACAAACGTCGAATATGCAGATACTTGTCAAGGCAGAATCGTTGTTGCAAAATTCTCATTTAGCCGCCAGAATTTACAGGGAAAAATTTCCCAATAGAAGGCTCAATGATAGAAGGGCACCCACCTGATGAAAGAACATTGTGCCCGTTTTATAAAGATTGCCTGATATGGGAAGTGTAAGTTTGTAAATTTTTTCCTCTTGAATGTTCAGTGCAAAAATGTCATTGAGTGCAATTCACAATTTAAGAAAACGGCACATTTTTTATTTTTACTAGTAAAGTGATAAAAATAAAAATGAAAATTATTATTTACATTTTACATTGTTTAAAAGCGAATAACAAACCTAAACAGGTGGAAATAAATGAAATGCTTGCAAAAAAATTGAATTTGCCATTTTTTTTTACATTAATATCCTGGCAGAGATTATCTCTACAATGTTGTCACGTTGTTAAAAAAAATTTAAATTTAAAAACGAAGTTACCTACATTATCTGAAAATCTGTAAACTTGGCAACATTCTCGACGTCATCATTGAATGGGGCATCATTATTCACCCCTCTGCAGAACATTTCGTAATTTTATTTCATGCTGCTCTGGAAATATTTGACCGTTCCAAGACTTTTGAACAAAAAGGCTGTGTTGTCATATTTCAGAAACCGTGTAAAATAGGGACAAAATATGAAGAAGTTTTAATAACAATAGAGCGCCCAATTTATTGCAATGAAAATAAAGTGGCATTCCTATTTAAAAAAAAACGAAGTTACCTACATTATCTGGAAACCGGTAGACTTGGCAACATTGTCGATGTCATTATTGAATCGGGTATCATTAATTACCCATATGCAGAAAATTTCGTAATTCTATTTCAAGCCGCTCTGGAAATATTTGACCGTTCCCAGACTTTTGAACAAAAAGGCTGTGTTGCAATATTTCAGGAACCGTCTAAAATAGGAACCTGATATCAAGAGGTTTTAATAACAATAGAGCGCTGAATTTATTGCAATGAAAATAAAGTGGTATTCCTATTTAAAAAAACGAAGTTACCTACATTATCTGAAAAGCGGTTAAATTGGCAACATTGTCGATGTCATCACTGAATCGGGCATAATTAATTACCCATATGCAGAAAATTTCGTAATTCTATTTCAAGCCGCTATGGAAATATTTGACCGTTCCCAGACTTTTGAAACACACTGTATATAAACAAATGCGCAAGCGCATAGTTCAGTTCAGAACTGATTCTGAACTAAATCCGAACAAACCTATTATGCTTTAACCGTCAACTGTCAAACTCATTTGGATTCGGTTATTTGAAAGAGTGATAACTCTCATGACGTCATCTGACGTGCCTTAACATAATGCAAATCTCCATTAGTCACCCCAGATGACGTCATCTGTTTCCCATTGTGTGGTACAACCTATTAACTTCAGGAACCTTGGATTCGCACCACTTCCCAAAAGTCAAATTGGTGGACCAAATCCAATCCACATTACATGTAGCTGGATGTTTCTATTTGAAAACAAGTACGACAGAGACAGGGATACCAAACATTCCTAGTTGAAACGGACGCAAAATCTGACAATTGACATTGGCAATTTGGCAATGTCCTAAATCTAAATGTGTTCGGATTAACGGATGCATGTTCGGAGTAATGGATGAAAATTCGGATTAACGGATGAAATGTTCGGATTACCGAGCTAAATGCTAACAGGTCGACGTGGCGTTCCACAACTTGTTTACTGGTTGCAGCTGCAGCTGGTGTGGAGGTTGGGGCGCTTGCTGTTTGCTGATGCTGGCTGTAATAAGAAGATTTTTGTAAAACTTGATACAACGCAAGGAAATTTGACTGAGTACAGTTTCAGTCTGCAGAAAACGTTTTCTAACCAAAAAACATGCTTTCTCAACTTTTTCTACTTACTTTTATTCCTTTTTCTCTTCTCAAAGTACTACTAGTGCCTTCTCTATGAGGAATGCATTATCTTATTTTAGTAGATTCATCAATTTAACTTATAGTTGCATTATTTTGCTACCAAGAGAAAGTTATCAAATGTACCTTTAAAACATATTAATATTGGTAAGGGTCGGTTTCTCAATAGCGAGTCATCTCCGAGTTAATTTTAGCTCCAGAGTAAACGTGTCCAGTTGCAATGTTCGCGCTGAAGTTATGCTCCACCCGCGGGTGATTTGCTATTGAGAAACCGGTCCTAAGAGATACTGATTAAAGGTGAGGCTTTTTTTTTGTATTATTTCGTAAAAAAAAAAACGCTTATATTCAATAGATTTTTAATAGTTTTATAATAATATACACAATATTATGAAACAAACAAAAAATGTACGTCATAACAAAACCAAAACGTTTAGTGCAGCTCTAGAGTATCTTCAGTATACACTAACAGCAAAATTTATTAAAATTATAATAAATTTCCAAAACTTTAAATAAAATAAGAATAAAAATAAAATACTTTAAACATTATTCATCTAATAAATTGATTAAATAATCAAATTAAGGCTTATTGTCTTCAGCAACCTCTATCTGTATATAGTATTAGGTAGTTACTAGTCATGCTAAATAAAATGGCAGTATGTATAACTAATAAGTAAAACTTAATTCTAAAACTATTGCAACAAGTAGAAAAACAATCCAATTTCACGGTTCACGTTATTACTTTTGTATATCGAATTGATTCTGAAAGTTCAAGATTAGTATGAATTTCTAAAAATGTCTTTTGGAAATCCATTTTTTTACACTAGATATTTTCAAGAATTTGAGGACATTTGCAGCAGTGGCGTATCTACGTAAAAAAATCGAGATTACACCAAGAAAAAAAAAGTAGCTACAGAAACTTCAACATACTGAAACAGGAGATCCTTCTAAGACCCAAAATAGAAATTCTAGGCTTTAAAAATTTTTCGCATTTAAAAAATTTTCGGATGGAAAATGCGTCCCTGATGCAATTTTGACACGTTGCTATGACAAAAGTGACAGAATCTCAGACAGAAGTGTCGTAACAATATGGCGGAAGTGGGATACGCTTTTTTTCTCCTTATGTCGCTTCCTTATTATTCTACCTCAATGATTTTTCCTTAATTTTGCCTAAATAAGTCAATTTTCTTTGAATTTTTCCTGGAGTGATTTTTCACTGGAAAATTTCGAAATTTCCCTATAATGAGTTCCTCACTTTTCTCTTTATCCTGGAAAATTTTCAAAATTTTCCCTTTAGCAGTTTTCCAAAAAAAAATTTAAATGTGAAAGGATGAATTATGCCTAGAAAAGTCAATTTTCCAGAACTTTCCTATCGACTTTCCTTAGAGTGATTTTTCACTAGAAAATTTTGAAAATTTCCTATAATGAACTCCTCATTTCCTTCTTTCTTCTGGAAAAATTTCACAAGTTTTGCTTTATTAGTTTTCCAGAAATAAATTAAAATGTGAGAGGATGAGTTTTTCTTAATTTTACTTGAAAAAATCATTTTTTCAGAATTTTTCCTGGAGCGATTTTCCATTGGAAAATTTTGAAATTTTATTATAATGAGCTCCTGACTTTCCTCTTTTTTTTCTTTTGCCAATTTTCCAGGAAACAATTGAAATGTGAGAGCATGAATTTACCTTAATTTTACTTGAAAAAGTCATTTTCCAGAATTTTCCCTAGAGTGATTTCTCACTGAAAAATTTCGAAATTTTCCTATAATGAGCTCCTCACTTTCCTCTTTTTCTTGGAAAATTTTCAAAATTTTCCCTCTGCCAGTTTTCAGAAAAAAATTAAAATGTAAGAAATGAATTTTCCTTAATTTTGCTTAAATAAGTCAATTTTCCAGAATTTTTTATGGAGTGATTTTTCAATTGAAAATTTTAAAATTTTTGCAATAATTTCTGTAATTTTCATAGTTTTTCATAATGTACATAATGTTCGCGCTAACAATATGCTCCTTTAATGGCCGTTTCCACCAACGCAAATTTAAGTTTACTTAACGTTAAGTGCCGCTTATATTATAGTTTCTTTTCCACCAGTCTAACCTAGTCTCATTAAGATAGGCTTAACTAAGCCCAAAAATGTCTAGGCTTATTCCTCCCTTAACAAAGTGGCGATGATAAGAGCAAGCCATTTGCATAATATATTTTTGTTGACATAACAAACCTTGAAATTAAATTGAGTTAAAATTGGAATTTTCTCAATTTTCTAATTTCAGAGATACAGTTTTTTTTATTTTCGATCATGTTCTTATTTTTTGATGTTAGCGATATTATAAGCTCTTTTTCCTTTATGGTATAGTTTGGTGTCCGCCTTTTTTTGGATAAATTCTCCCTGTTTGTTTCTATTCCCCGACTCCACGCTACTCTAGGCACCTTCGTGCTCGTTCACACACAATGCAGGATAAACTACCAATATCTACCTCTTCTCTGTGGAATAAACCGAACCCGGACAACAACAACAACTATCTATTAATAATTATAATCTTATAAAAATTAGCGGGACGCGACGAATGACAGATAACATTGACACGACTAGTGTAAAAACTAAAAGTACGCAAATATTTCACCTGAAATGCAATGTTGCCAAAGCTTTACGACACTTAGCTAAGCTTGCACTTAAAAACTATGGAGGAACGAAATTACATTTGAGTGTCCCTTAACTTTTAAGGGCCTCATAGTTAAGTAAAGCTTAGCTATAGTTTGGTGGAAATGGCCATAAAACGTATAAAATTATATGCACCGGCAACCCCGACAAAAATGACAGAACACAGAACCGCGGAGGAAGAGTTGGCAACATGGGAGGAGAAGTCAGTCGATTATTATTGATCCGTGACGTCAAGAGAAGAGTCGTTATTATTGGTCGGTTCGTCCAACTGGTCGGTTCATTATTAATTAATAATTATTGTCTTTTACCGATTATTCTGTTTAACCGTTTTGTCCGATAAGTTTTAAGAATAATTATGGTGTTTTACAGTACACTTGTATTATGTTTTCACGCTAAGTTACGTGACGCTGTCTACAAGCTTTTTCTTAATTAAAAAGGTTTAATAGTTAAAATTGGCAGTGGTTTTATTTTCGTAAATACGTGGAATGGTCCTTCGATTATATACTTCAAAACATAATTTGGTTCCTTCGAGCCGCATGAGTGAACAGTGACATTGTTTATGGTTTATAAAATAGACAAAACCGGTTAAAAATCGAATTTTCTCGTGTCGGGACTGACTACAGAACATATCACCTCTAGAAAAGTATCTGCAACGGTATGTTGTGGCGTCATTGTTCCGCGAGTCCGTTGTGTTCAACCCTGGATGGCTCAACTATTGTGTACAACCCTGGCGGCCTGACGTGACGTGACAGAAGACAGCTGTCCCAGGTTGTTGTTTACTTCTAGTCAGCTTGTTGCCGCGCAATTATAATATCGTGTTGTTGTTGTTAACAAAATAAAGTATTTCGATTTATTTGTATGTTCAGTGCCCAGAATTAAACCGAGTTATTAGTAAAACAGTGTTTTCATTCGCTGGTGATATATCAAGCAAACACATAGCAGTAGTAGCTATAACTGGTGACCCCGACGTGATATATCTCCGCGTACCACTCGGCCTCTAACCTAAAAGACGTGTCTGACTACTAAAAAAATCAAGATGCAAAGCAATTTCGACTCCTCAGTAGATCCTGATCAGCAATTGGCTGCAAACAGCTCTTTTGCCAACCAGCAACCAGACAGGAGTTCGTCAGTGAGTATTCCTATGCCTCAACCTTCTGGCCCTCACGGCAGTACAGCATTTGATCCCGCGGTGCATTTTAATCCAACAAATCACCCGGTGAGCTATCAGCAAGCATATGCCCAACCAGTAGTAAATTCGTTGCCAGCCCCCATGATGCTCAACCAGCAGCAGAGTTATGCCATTGACGCAGTTTACAACTGCAATCTGCCACCCTTTTGGCGTTCTCATCCAGACCTATGGTTCCTGCAGATTGAATCAGTCTTTCAAGCCCACCGTATACAGTCCGATAGCACCAAGTACTATCAATTGGTAAAATCACTGGACCCGGACACAATCACGGAAGTTGCAGACATCTTGAAGGCTCCACCACCTCAAGATAAGTACCAAAATCTCAAGTCTAACCTAATAAGTAGACTAACAGCCTCCGAAGACTCTCAGATGCACAAACTGCTCACTGATCTAGAACTAGGTGACCGAAAACCCTCACAGTTGCTTCGTGAAATGCGAGCCCTTGCCGGCAATCGTGCTACAGAAGACGTGCTCCGCATACGATGGCTGGCCCTTCTGCCTGTCAGCATTCAGCACTTGCTGAAAATTTTCAAGGCCAATTCACTTAACGAACTAGCTGCTGCAGCTGATGAGCTCATGACAAACATCCCTGGTGGCAGTGTCATGGCCGTCAACCAGAGCTCTCGCCAGCATGGACATGGTTCTTCAGTAGCCTCCGAGCTGAACGAACTCAGACAAGCCATCACAGAACTAACCATTGCTCAGAAGGACCTCACTTCTGCCATCAGACAGAGTCTCACCTCTACCAGTCGACAACCACGTGAGCGTTCTGTCACTTCTGGAGAATGCCGATATCATCGAAAATTCGGTGCCCGGGCCCAAAAATGTGTGCAACCCTGCACATCTCATCTGCCACTAGCATCTCCGCGCCAGGAAAACTAAATATGCTGTCGCCTGTTCAGGTGGTAAGCGACAGCAATGTCAACAGCACCTGCCTCCCATCTAAAGAAAGTCGCCTGCACGTCATAGACAAGGTCACTGGCATGAAGTTCCTTATCGACAGTGGTTCCGTTGTATCCTTGATTCCAAGA